ATGTTCTGTAACAGGGCTATAAAAGTCCAAGACAAGATGCGGAGCCAAGGAAGATGTCGCAAGAAAAGAAGATAAAGAAGACACGAAGAAGTCTAAAGGATATGCAGGACGATGGATTATCGCCAGGAGTCCGTGGATCATTCGACCGCCGACGAGTCGAGCGGGTCAATGTGAGGGCGGCGAGCATCGTGATACGCTGGCGGGAAGATCATGGCGGCGCAAGGATAACGCGTGCGTACAAGCAGCCAGGACTTGTACATTTAGCAAGATGTTCGTGATGAACAGCCAACTAGAGCACAAGCAGCGGATTTACCAAGTCGCACACTCTCACCGGCGACGGGGAGTGTTGGAAAGTGACAATTCGTATCTAGCCGGGTAATAGTTGTACGCCGGTGTAGTCTGCTTGTAACGGGGATAAAACAACCCGTACTTAGCTTATACTATTTCTAACGCTTTGAAAAAGCCTCGAAGCCCATGTCTTAGGTGTTTAGTAATTTAACTCTTTTTTTAAATAATATCTTGTAATCAGCCTAAGTACGAATGTTCCCTTGGACTCATGAGAACCACTCAAACTACGTGCCTATACCTCACTGGCTAACAATAAGACTGAGCCCATTAAACCAGCTAAAATATACAGCGTGCTACTTTCGCTACCTCGAAAGTAGCACCCCTACTTAAGTAACATGTAAACTTAATCGAAACCTCTTATGTAACGGGGTGGCCCATTACACTGCTAAAAAGTGTTAGATTAGTCCGTATAAGAGGTAGTTCCAGAATGTTTTTTTAAGCGTAGGGAAACGTCTGGCAGCGGCAGAGGCCGCTGCACTAAGAGGTCTTACTTTGCGTTCGGTAAGCCAATGAGGAGGCCTGCGGTGGCGGGCCGGAACGCGTCTGGCACGCGGTAATACACAATTCGTTTACTTTACTTAACTCCTACTTGTAACAATAATATCGTGAGCTGATCTTCTACTTCAGGGTCGTCTAAAGTCTCGATTAAGTTCTAGACGTGCTCCTTTTTTACCTTAAGAGGTCCTTCCTAGATCTAGATCTTCGCCCTGAGTCGAATTACATTGATTCGGTACAGGTAGTCCAATGGTGACTCATCTGACCTTTTCTTCGCATGAGGTATTGGCAAGCCATGTCTGGCACTCCCAAACCACAGGATTGCATCTGTGACTCTTGTATGAAATTTCTTCAGCTTGACCGAACCGAGCGATCAAGTTGGCGATACCAGTTCTAAGCTGGTCCAGGTATCAATCCACCGAAGATCATCGTCGGGCGCTTGATCTCTTGTGAACGTGATTTTCACTGCGGTCACCTAACTGCGTGATTGTTCCTCATTTTGAGCTCTTCCGTGGAAATTCTTGAGGTCCGATGCCGCTCAAAGTTTAATGAGAGGGGCCATGTTGGGCATTTGTTCTACTGTAGCTGTCGTCATCCTCGTTAGTGGTCCCTCCAAGTCCATGTCGTCTGGGTCGTACTCGCACGTACCGACTGATTCCATCTCCACGCCCGTCATAGTACGTTGTCTCGAAGATTGCGCTCGGATTCTCGGTGCTTGTTGAGCCTCTGTTTCATGCGTTCTTTGTGCCTCTGCGGTCGCCCGTCCATCTTGGCATCCTTGTTTTACCTGGCGTTCCTGTAGAAATCGTGCCATCGCCGCGTCGAAGTATGTCTGCAAGTTAGGGGGTGTAGGCGCATCCCCACCAGCATCTTCGTCACTTGGCGGTGTAGAAATTGGTAACGACCGTGCCGAATTCTTATTGGGTGAAAATTCACCCTATTAGACGTTTGGATGTTTGGGTGGACACGTGTCGCCGTTTCGTAATCGTACTGATTTGTCGCTTCTCCCCTTGCACAAGCCTTGAGCATCGCTGCACTGCCGGTCCCAGTGGCGTCCGGTCGTACTGGTCAAAATTAGACGAACTGTGTGACGACCGCTCATCCGCGTCTCTGATCCCTGGCGGGAGAGTTGTTGGTGGAGGACGGCGCATCACCCTTGGGTTGTCGAGCTGTGGTCGTGCTTGGGGTTATGCTTTCAAAGTCTTGTAGCGTCATATGGCTGTCGCGAGACGGCGTCGGTATTGGTTGCGCTGGTGGTACGTTGTTGTGTCTAGTAGTGGTCCCAACCAGAATTGCCAATCACTTGTGCTTCTTCTCCAACATGCTCTTGATGCTGTTGAAACCTATAGCAAATAAAGTGCTTGGCTCGAACCTTCCTGCAGCCATAATTGTCTTGTAGAGGAGGGTTACTAGCGCCGTGAACGCCTCTGTGACCGTCCGGAGGCGCGGTAGGGGTGACGCCGGTCCCCCTAGTCGTCCAAGCAGATGGGTCTCAAAGGTTTACGCGACGGCGTCGCTTGCCAAGATGGGGTCCAGCTTGCGTCGGTGGTGGGCGATCGTCACAGCATTATCCGACCAGGCTGTCGGCCCTGCTTGGGCATTGCCTGCCAACTTGGTTGTTACCGGTGTCTTCGTCCTTGTGTTTTTCGGCTTGGATTCGGCGATCTTGGGGTGTCATGGTGTCGGGGACCATAGCTTACCAGATTGCTTCGTCGGCCGATGATCCGACTCCGTCGATGGTTTTGAGGTGCCAGGACCTATCGACTTGGTGTCGCCCGGCGCTTTCATCCTGATTTCATTCGGCTTGGACTTGGCGACCGGAGGGGTTTATTGATTCGGGGACCATAACTTTTCGTTTTCACCGTCTGTTGATAGTCCACTGGAGCATGATAGGTATCATAACCCAAGACGTCCTCAAAGAGGACATAAGGAGGGTGTTTAGGTTTTACTTCAATATTTTTAACCTTTACCATGTTGATTAGACCCCTCCCAAGGTCAAGTCGGTCCATCGACTCTTTGTTTTTGTCTTCATGTGTCACTGGCGGTCGGCTTTCCAGTGGGTCTTTGATCTTCGGTTTTATCATGACCTCAACATCTTATACATCTTAGAACTCGCGAAGAAATTCCGCTTCTCCTGGAGATCCGAGCACGCGCACCATTGTGGTGGAGTGGGTTCTCGAAACCGTTTGACGAGATCTTAAAAAAACCACTCACTGTGCCGGACTACCGACTGTCGGAGGGGGAACCCCGAAACCACTTGTGGACCTTGACTCACCTTGTGCACCCGTCGGATTGGCGGGTTTCACTCGTTGGAGGACTTAGTGATGATGTAGACGTCGGCCTTGATGGAGGTTGACCTGGGGGGCGAGCTGATATGCTGCAGTCCAGGTCCAATGTAATGCGGCTACTCGATCGACTTGGTCGAGAGTGGTCTTAAAACCAGTTGTCTCAGGTGCTGGTGGCGTATTGCCTTTACTTGTCTCCGGGGTGCTAACTGTCTGGCCTTAACGTGTTTTCTCCCTCACCACTAGGGTGTGGAGACCGCTTCCTACAGCAGGCTTATGTTGGGGGGTGATACTCTACGAGCCCACAGGTCAATATACTTTCTGGGGTTCTACTTACTCTTGTGTTTTACTGACAATGTCCATTCGACGGGTGGGCCATACAGATCCCTGTCCCGAACAGGTCGGTAGACTTACAAGTTTTTATCAGCGCACAACACGTCGTGCTACTTTAATAACAAATTGAGTAGTCTTTACTGTTATCCTATCCTTAAAACTCTTTTACTCTATTTTTTATTTGCACCTGGGTTCGCAATGATGAGTGACTAGGAGCCACCAGACCTCGTGGGACCGAAGAGTCGACCTATGAGCGATCAGTTCGGCCGATGGGTGGCCACGTCGGCCTACGGGGAACCTAGGTCCACCTTGGGCCAACAGGCTGACCGACAAGTGGTTTAAGGACGATCCATATCGGTACTCTTTAACTGGTACCGTTGGTCGATATGACCCCGTTTGTGGTAACCGTATCCATTCGTCACGATTAGTCTCGACGGCCACTCTTTCCTGTAACTTCCAGGTCGCTGGTCCCTTTCCCGGCCGCGAGGTCTCATGTCTACCCGACTCCTCGTTTCTTAAGTCATCATTTCCAAACGTCGCTCTACCACAATTAGTGCGTTAGACGATCGAATGATTGCTGCCAGGCAAAAGTCGATATTAACATCGCGAAGCGATAGGAATGTAAGTCCACGAGCACCTGTTTGTGTCTATTATCTATTTGTTAGATTGAACCAGGTTGCGGAGCTGATACTCGGAAGAAGATGGCTTACGGCCGGGGATGGAAACCGAAAAGTGAGTTGTATTCAAATTGTTCCTATCTCCGAAAACGAGTGGCTAGTAATAGCCGGTGGCTCTCAACCACCTATTTCGTGCCCTGTCTCCACCACTATCCGTTTTACCTATCACTGGGTAATTACGTCCCGTAAATACCTTTCGTAAAAACTCTGCTGTGTCATATGCAGAATGTAAACGATTGCGTGGGTGGGGGACGTAACTGCGGGCGGGTTACAGTACTGGTGATCCCCAAACACCAGGTCGTGAGTGTCAGTCACAATTTACGTGAACACGGCGGGGTTCGAACCCGCACTCACCCGAGTGGAATCCCCTTCCCAGACGACCAACAATCTGATGCTTTGTCGCATCGCTAACATCCCACAATATAAACCTGCCAAAGAACAATACAACTAATGCAAATATGCAATACACATCCGGCACAAGTCGCCGCATCATCACTCGCTAACACTCTCCCTTGATGTGCGTGCGACGTGTGCGCCCTACACCGACATGCACAGACCCGTGATGAACTTGCTGTGCTTGTCTCTTGGAAGTGCCTTGGTGAATCCACCCGCGACCATTTCTTCTGTCGGCTTGAACTCTAGCGCAATCACTGCACTTGCAACCTTTTCACGCAAAAAATGAAACTTGATGTCGATGTGCTTCGTGCGCGAGTGGTACACAGGGTTCTTGGTCAGCGCGATGCAACCTTGATTGTCTTGAAAAATTGACGTCGCGTTCTTGGCACAGTAGTTTAGATCCTTGAGCAAACCTCGAAGCCAAATTGCTTCCTGCGTCGCGCTGTACAGACTCATGTACTCTGCTTCAGTACTTGAGGTCGCGACCGTTGGTTGACGCTTCGAACTCCACGATATCACGCTTCCGTTCAAGAAGAAAACGTATCCTGTTGTCGAACGCCGTGTCGAGGTCGCCAGCCCAGTTTGCACCCGCGAATCCAATCAGCTCTCCCTTGTTGATGCCGCTGAACACGATGCTTAAGTCTTGAGTCGTCTTGAGATACTCGAGAATCCACTTTGCTGCTGTCCAATGCGACTTGTCGTAGCAATCGCAAAACTTCGCAACTTCGCCAACCGCATGCGCAATGTCCGGTCGTGTACATGTGGCGATGTACATTAAAGCGTCCACCACCTCACGGTATGGGTACTTTGGTACAAACGCTTCCTCTTGACCCATCTTGATCAGCTTCGAGTTACTGTCCACCGGCGTGTGCACGTCCTTGCAGTTTTCAACGCCGAACTTCTCCGAAAGTCGCTTGATGTACGCCTTCTGGTTCATCTTGATCGTTCCATCTTCGCGCTTGCGATGAATCTCGATCCCTAGGCAGTACTTGAGATCTCCAAGATCTTTAATGCTGAAATCTTCCATCAATGAGTTCTTGATACTTGCGATGTGCCCCTTCGTCTTGCAGAAAAGCATTAAGTCGTCCACGTAGATCACGATGATGCTGTACTCCTCTCTTGTCACTCGAACGAACACACACGGGTCCGCTGCACTGCTCTTGAACCCTTGATCATCCAAGTGCTGACTCAACTTATTTTTCCACTGCCGCGCCGCTTGCTTCATCCCGTATAGCGCCTTCTGCAGCAAACACTTCTTTTTCGGGCTTCCTTCATCTTCAAAACCGTCAGGTTGGTCCATGTAGATCTCCTCTTCCACTTAGCCGTAGAGAAACGCTGTGTCGACATCAGCATTTTCTGCTTCCAGGTCTTCAGCTGCAGCGATCGCTAACGCTGTGTTGATAGATTCCTTGCGCGCCACTGGTGCAAAGGTCTCGTTGTAGTCGATGCCAGGACGCTGCGCGAACCCTTTCGCAACCAAGCGCGCCTTGACTTGATGATCTTCCCACTTGGATCGCGTTTAATCTGTGAAGACCCACTTACAGCCTACGGCCTTCTTGCCCGGTGGCATGTCCACTAGCTTCCATGTGCTGTTTTCTTCAAGCGACTTCATCTCACTCTTCATTGCCTGCAGCCACTGCTCCTTGTAGCTGCTCTTCATCACTTCTTGATAGCTGGACCCTTGTTCCCCGTCTTATTTAGCCGAGAAATAGTAGAAAGAGTCGAAGTCACCTTCGTAGTCGTCCAAATTGAAGTGACCGCGACGATGGCTTGAAAATTCTTGCTCATAGCGAACCACGCCGCGCTTCTTCCGAACCGGTCACACCATCCACTCTTCTTCTCCATTTCTTCCGGGTGTGCTGGATGCGCGCGTTGAAATGGTGTCGCTTAGTCGATCACATGGACCGTGACGATATCTGTTTTGCACTCGAAGTGGCGAGGTGCGTAGCTCTTTTTCGGTCACCGGCGTTTGCATGTCTTCATCATCGGGTAGCAACGCCTCCACACTTTCCTCGTCTTCAATGACATCGAGCAACCGCGTGTCTCTGGTTTTTGACACTTTCGAGGCAGAACGATCAGCGAACGTGACGCTTCTTGAAATCAAAATTGAGCCATCGTCCGCACTAAGAAGCCAACGCCTTTTGATCCTTCGCGTAGCCGAGAAAGAAACATCACACGCCTGAGTCATCCAGCTTCTTCCTCTTCTCCTTCGCCACATGCGCATAGCATTGCGCACCAAACACGTGCATGTGGTCGATGCGCGGAACCTTCTTGAACACCATCTCGTGTGGGCTTGAGTTCTTGTTCGACGCGTTCGGCAGAATGTTTCTGATGTATGCAGATGTCATCAGTGCCTCGCACCAGTACGACTTGTCGAGGCCGCTTTCCTTGAGCATACAGCGTGTCATCTCCACCAGCGTGCGGTTTATCCGCTCCGCCATCCCGTTCTGCTCTGGGTTGTACGGAACCGTGAACTCTTGCTTAATGAACTTTGCCTTGCAAAATTTGTTCATCGTTTCGTTCCGGTATTCGCCGCCGTTGTCACTTCGCAACACCTTTATCTTCGTTCCAGACGCTGTCTTGATCTCTTTGTACAACCGCCTGAACGCACTCGCAACGTCGCTCTTCTTTCGCAACGGATAGACCGTTACATACCTGCTCTTCATCATGATGAAGGTTACGGCCTAACTGAAACCGGACTTAGACGCTGGCGTGATAGGTCCGAGAACGTCGGAGCACACCACCACGTCGGAACGCAAACTCTCCCTGGTTTCAGCGTCTTCTTCGCTTGTCTTGAATGACTTGCGAACTTGCTTTGACGTTGCATACGTCACACGCAACGTTCGTCTTCACCGTTGCGCCCTTGATACTACCGTCCTTAACCATGGCATTCAGCGTACCATACGACACGTGACCCAGTCTTCTATGCCATAGCTCTGTATCGTCTTTGGCCATGTGGCACTCCGTACCATAATCAGCGTTGAGATACAGTAGGAACCCCTGCTTCCTTCCTGTTCCGACGGGTTTGCCGCCACGCTTCACCATGCACTCGTTGCGCGTTATCTCCACTGTCATGCCGCGCGCTGCCGCAGCCGTGAGCAAAAACAGGTTCTTGGACAAATCTTGAACGTGAAGTGTGTTCTCAAGGCGAGCATCGATCCACGCATGCCCTGTCCAGACGCGCAGCTTCACTGTCCCATGTCCGATGACATTCAGCTGCACGTCGCTCTTTGCGCTTGAAATACTTCGCGCATGATGCACTTCTTCGTAATCTTCGAACGCATCTCGATCCTTGCACATGTGTGCTGACGCGCCACTGTCCATGACCCAGCTGTCGCTCGCGAAACCTTCGCTGACATTAAACGCGACATTCGACTGGTCATGCTGTTGCTCCCTTGGCCCTCGACCTGAGCGACAATCTCTGGCGTTGTGTCCGACCTTGCCACAGTTGTAGCAGGTCCCTGATGGTCCTTTCGCGCACCGTCCTTGTTGCTTCTTTGGGTACTGCTTACCCTTCCTCTTGCCTGCGTAGAGAGCCGTTGCATCTTCTACCCGTGCAGCCTCATTCTGGCGCACTTCTTCGGTGATCAACTTGCTCACGAGGTCACTAAAACTGAAGCTTGCGACGGACATGCGGAATGCCTGTACCAAGCTGTCAGAGATTGACTTCGCAACAGTACCGCGCACAAGTCCTCCTCACTTGGACCGCATCTCGCGCGCTTGATCTTCATCACGAGGTCCTCCAGCTCCATCACATGACCGCTCATGCTTAATGCTGCATACTTGAACGACGCGATTTTTTCCTTCAGCCAAAATCGATTCGCCATGTCATGACTGTGATGAAATCGCGCCAAACGTCCCCACGCTTCTCTTGCAGTGGCCGAGTCGATGACATGCATTAACTGCGAATCGCTCAGATTAAGCACGATCGCGGCGTGGGCTTGCTGTTCCTTGGCCTCACTTGTTGTCTCATCGCCCGCGATCGCGCCCCACAGCCCCTTCTACATCAGGTACATCTTCATCTTGTAACTCCACAACCCATAGATCGAGCCGTCGAAAGACTCGACCTTGAAACCGGAGTTATTCTTTGGGCTCATAACCTGTTAGAATTAACTAGGTTGCGGAGCTGATGCTAAGAAGAAGATGGCTTACGGCCGGGGATGAAAACCGAAAAGTGAGTTGTATTCAAATTGTTCCTAGTTCGAAAACGAGTGGCTAGTAGTAGCCGGTGGCTCTCAACCACCTATTTCGTGCCCTGTCTCCACCACTATCCGTTTTATCTATCACTGGGTAATTACGTCCCGTAAATACCTTTCGTAAAAACTCTGCTGTGTCATATGCAGAATGTAAACGATTGCGTGGGTGGGGGACGTAACTGCGGGCGGGTCACAGTACTGATGAACCCCAAACACCAGGTCGTGAGTGTCAGTCACAATTTACGTGAACACGGCGGGGTTCGAACCCGCACTCTCCCGCATGGAATACCCCTTCTCAAAACTGAGCCATTCCGATGCCTTG